GCTGTCCCCTGCCTCACTGCACCTCCTGGTGCTGTCAAGACACAGGCTCTGGCCATTTCACAGCTCTGAGGGCTTACCTTTTGAAGTTAGCCTGTTGTTTTGCAAATTGAGAGTTTCCAATCTGTAAAGACGAGCAAGCTCTTCTGGAAAGATTTCTTCTATCTGGTTATTCTAAAAAAATGGAGAATATTAATCATCAGCAAAGTAATCCGAGAAGGATCGCAATAAACCCAGACTGTGAACTGCAATAAAATTTGAAAATCAACCCACCACGTCAACTCGTTGTCAACAGATTTCTCTCCATAATGTGCCAGACTCAGATACCAAAACCAACACATCCAAACCCAGCAGCACTGGAAAGCCTGACCCCAGTTTTGTAGCATGTGCTTATCCCCAGAAACACACAGCTGGTAGCACACAGGGAGTAGGATTATGCCTGGCAAGGCCTTTAACCCATCTGCCACAGCCAAACCTTGTAGCTGCTGCAAAGCATTTACTACAAGGTTAGCACTGTGGATTTCCAAGTTTATTACTTCTCTTATTTATGTGTTGTTTTAAAACCAGCTTGTCAGGGGCAGGGAGAGTTAAACTGGGCTGACTTTCTCTGGATTTACTCCTAGGGGTGACTGCCATCTGATCCCCATTCACATGCTGACTAACATTTAGATCATTAATGAGTGATTCCAGTGTTTTAGCATCTAGGGGACCAGACAAGGACCCACTGTGCTGGAAGCCAAGCTAATACACAGAAAGTGGCAGTTGCTGCTCAAAAAAGCTTCCTTGCTTTTGGCAGTAGAGGCAGAAGTCATGGCTGGCCATGGCTGGGACAGATCTGCTGAGGAAGGTGCCAGCTTACATGACAGGTTTTCTAACTATGCTGCACTTCGATAGCAAGCTTTGAACAAAACCTACAGTTCATCCTTTGAACCAAGCTGGCAAATGGGAGCCATAAAAAGAACACAGTTGGTTAATGGCCAAAGCAGCATTATGTCTGGAACCACTGCAACCACTCAGAGGAGGAACAGCAATGGGGCTACCACGCTCCAGCCCTGCCCATGTCCTCATGTGTCAGAGCACAGGCAGGGAAGGGATGCCTGCCCAGCTGCTGGTTGTAGGGATCACTTAACTAGCAGCAGCACATGGAAAGCTGCTGACAAGACCGCTGGACTGTTGCTTCCACCTGAAGTTTGAACCTCACATTCTTACATGCCCTTGTCCTGAGAAGACATGGCATCTCTGCAGGCATGACACTAGTTTCCTAGCTAAAACAACCCAAGTCTCCTGCCCACAGGTAGCCCAGCAAGCGTGGCACCAGCTGTCTGGGTGTCACGGGCAATGCCACAGAGTGTGACAGACACCTGCTCCTCTCTGAGCCCAGGTGCTGCAGGGAGGCCGGGCTGGGGGCCCTGGCTGGGCACCTGCTGGAAAACTTCTCATTAACGAAGAAGCCGCTTAGCCCGTGCTCTTCAAAGACCCCTCAAAACGAAAGGCCTCCACCAGAAGCAGCGACTACTTCTCGCTCAGCCCCCTTACCTGCAGGGAGAGGTGGTTGGTCAGCTCGGGCAGCAGCAGCGGGAACTCCTTCAGGTCGATGCCGCCGCAGTCCACGACGCCCTC